TCGGCACAAGGTTGAAGGAGGTTCTCTTCGGTAGGCAATGACGTGGGCTCTCTTCTGTCTTGTCCCCGAGGCGTCTCACTCTGGCGAATTCGCTTCGCGCATTCGTATTTATGGGGGTATGTCAAGATAGGGACATTTCGGTGAATCCCCTCCGGTTTACCTTATAAACTTGAGGAATTCCCTCTTTCCCAGTTCCCTCATCTCAATATCTTTTCACCAACCATTTCAGTAAGCGTGAGTGGCCTATCCACTCACCTATGTCTCGAATCAACTTCACATCCGTTGTTTAGCAAAAATATAATTTTCACTTTGCTGCTGTGCGTCAATCAAACATTGACCTACAATCTGGGTCACTTTTCCATTGTTCAAACCGCTCAACACATAATTCAAGTCATTTATATGTGAATTTAATCTTCAATTTTTCCCAGGGGTTCTTTCGGTATTAACTCTTCTTGTTTCCATGTTTCTCAGCACATAACACTTAGTTATGTTTTAACAACACCTTCTTCTGTTTTACCACGGAAACGACAAATAGTATCACAAAAATGCTTTAGTGATACAAGTTTTTTATTAACCCATAGCTGGGAGGAGAAGAGTTGGATTCATAGCTTACCCTCGGGTATTTGCCTGTAAGGGAATATAACGAACCCAACTGGAATTGACAATTCCGAGCCATTATTCATTACGCATCCAAAGATTCAAGCTTACATTGCCTTGTATTCTCAAGCGGTTACTCATTTAGGAACTGACCAGATTCGACGTTGCTTAACTTACAGCAACTGGTGTTTTAACGTAATATAGTCGTAAGCCTGGTATTGGTGGATATAACCTTAATAACATTACGCATTATCTATGCTAATGGAAAATTCAGAAAAAAGAACAATTGAAAAAGTATTCAGAAATATAGTTAAGAAAGTTAAATGAGAAAGGACTGATGATTAACTGTAAGAAGACATAATGCATCGTTGCTAGCCAACGAAACGGTTCAATCAATTCCTTGGTAACCTGATCACATTATTTTAAGCACACTACTAGATTTGTAATTAGGTCCCATTATTTTACTGCTGGAACAGCTATATATAACCGTAAGTTCTCTTCTAATAATTTATTTTCTCTCACTTCTCACCTGCGGAACTTTCTTCAGAATTATTGCTTCTCTGCCATCTACAATCTTCAAAAATTTAAATGCAACGTCCATCGCTATATTCTGTCTTTCTGAAACCTGTTCTTTTATTGTCCTATCTCGTTAATAATGTCTTCACATTCTCTTTCACTTCCCGTACCCCCCACCGTGTCTTAGTGCCATTGCCACCTTGCTTGGGGTGAAATAATTCAGAAAAAATGTTGTGGGGTACATACAGGTAACTTCAGAATCAAACAGTTGCAGAAAATTAATTATCAGGTTACTTTACACGACAGAAAATGGGATACAGGTATCCGAAGACCTGTAAGAATAGCGAAAGATGTCTTCCAGAAACAAAACAAAGAATTAATAAATAGAAAACTGACTCTGGAAATAATGACTGATTGATTTTTTAAAACGGCATATCAATTTTTATGGGTCATTTAATGCCAAAATTTTTAGAGCTTTTAAGTAATAAATATACGATATACGTTATTCTGTTTTCGCAACATGGTAGATGATACTCAGCTTTTGCGTGTATACATGTTGTTTGTGAGGACATGATTACTAGAGGCGGTGATATGTGTGTTTTATGTTCTAGTTTTGCTGAAGTATTATTTTGGATTAAATTTCGATTTCTTTAATAAATTGTAGGATATTATATGAATTAATGTCATGAAATAATTCATTCATGTTGTTTGATTTTGCTTCGTGGCATATCAACTTCTATCTTTTATTTAATACTGAAATTTAAATATTTTGTACGTATAAAAAAGTATTTTTATATTTTATTAGTCTTGCATTGATTGACATTTTACTATAAAAATGTATTATTGGTCATTTTATATAAAAATGTACTCTTGAATTTTGTTTGTGCGTCCACTATTTTCCCATGCTTCCACCACGTCAGGATGGACAACTGCAATTAAGAAGTGCTTCCACTGTCGTCAAAACCTCCAATATCCCGATCAGAGGCCTTGCTGCCGGATATCGTTCATCGTCATACCCAGGACGATAGGAACAAGGAAACGAGTGCTGAAATATTATGTAATATCCTATATTACAATGAATCTCCTCATAGATGAATAAGAGTCTTGATGCGACGGAGATGTACTTTTACCTACAAACGATAAGAATATAATAACCAGCGCATATTGGGAAGTTTTAAGTGAATAGGAAGTACAAAGAAACTGCTTCTCAGAAAGAGACGACGAATACATTTTGGGGTGCACAATGAGGAAAGAAGGTTTGGAAAATTTAACACGTTCAGGAAAATTGAAAACAGGGGTAATCAACTTAAATGTCTAGCAAATAAGCAACCACAAAAATGAACTGGTAAAAAGGGAAAAGTTATTTAGGGCAACAACAGGCAGAAAGCTACTTTCTATATATATGCATTTCCTTTATAGTCACGATCTCCCAGGTCATGAAAGGATATTGCACATTATGGAGGGAAAATATGGAATTTTAGACAACTCTGCATGGTGATTATTATTGGTTCGGATGTGAATTCAATTCTAATGATGTGAATATGTTAAGCTTCTTCAGCTCTTTTGTTACGTCAACGAGCGCTGGTTTGACAATTTTGTTATGTCAACGAATACTCGTTGTCACTTTCGTAGGGCTCGTTGCAGTAGAGACTTTGTAATCGCAGATACAACTATAGTAACGCCGTTGAACAATACTGGTGTCAGACGCCTTCGAATAATCTCGTACTAATAGTACTTGCTCGATAATATTCGTTCGAAAAGTAACTCGTATAGTGATCTGAATAGAGAAAGAGTAAAGTGAATAGGTTAGAGATAGGAATAGTAATAGACGATAGACTAGAAATGGCGATCTTTAGTCGTCAGCTAATTTCTACATATATGTATTTCCTCTATGGTCACGTGGTCTACTTAATTCAATAATGGGATCGCCTGTGTTTGCTCATTGGCGTTCTATGTTCCAACTCAAGTGTCGGCAGCGACAATTTATTCCTATATAACACCTTTTGTACATTGACTACAAATGAAAGTAAGCAAGCTATAAGTTAATCAATCTCATCTTCGTCGACACTGTTATAACTAGTTCCTAGTTGTTATAATATTATGTATCACTTAGGTTAGTCGTCGTGACGTCACTAGAAATTCTCCTAGACTGACTCCACCCGACTTCACTTTGATTTCTCTATTTAAGGCGTCTTGCCTAGTTCATTTGTGTTACCGGAGGTGTCTTATTTACTCCACAACATAACTTTTCTATCACTGTGTTTCATTTCCATTGACCTATAAGCAAGCAAATGCAATCGTTTTAGTTTGTACCTAAGTCAGCACATGTAGAGACGAGGGGATATAATTATTTTGCAAGTGAAAAGACATTCTTTACGGATCATGTGCTTTAGTCTGTTTTTATCTTTAAGGACCATGTGATTTATTCTGTCACACAAATCGATGGAAAACAGAAATCGTGATACGGGTTCAAATTTTGCTTGAGGCAGCTGATGTCAATTTAAAGTTAATACTCGAATTAAACGCATCAGTCCAACATTCCCTGCCATCTCCTTCGAGTGACAGGCATTTACAAATGATCCTTCACGAGTCTTGAACAAAATCTGTGAGTGGATGGATGACGGATAGAAATCATTCAGATCGTTCTACTAATATATTTAGTTTTCTTTTTTTTTTCTTTTTAATCTGTCCACCGTTCATGCTAGGTTGTTTACTTTATTTATTTATTTACTGCTTTCTTTCTTTCTTTTTCTTTCTTTCTTTCTTTCTTTCTTTCTTTCTTTCTTTCTTTCTTTCTTTCTTTCAAAGTTGTTCGTTATGCATCTGTACATCCTACTGTCTGTGTTCTTATGCATTCCATCATCTACATAATTATGGTTATCTATCTATTTATCTCTCTTCCCACCACTCTTTCTCTCTCTTTCTCTTTACACACACACACACACACACACACACACACACACACATATATATATATATATATATATATATATATATATATATTATTATTATTATTCTTTTCTTTCCCATACTTTTATTTTCTACAGTCATTGTTTTTCTTTCTACATTATTCTTCTGTTTTTCTTTCTCACGCCATTTAAATGTGTCCGTCTTTTGTTTGTTTGGTTCTTTCTTTCTCTTTCGTTCTTTCTTTCTTTCTTTCTTTCTTTCTTTATTTATTTATTTATTTATTTATTTATTTATTTCTTAATAGCTTCGTTAGCTTTTCTTTAATCTCCCAATTTCTTTATTTCGATATTTTCCTTTTCTTTTTTAATCTTTTTTTTCCTTTTTCATTCGTTTTCGTATTACTGTTTTTTTCTTTTTTCATCTGATTTTTGCCACTTTTGTTCGATTTCATTCTTTTATTCATTCTTTCTGTTTCATTTCATTCTTTTATTCATTCTTTGTTTCATTTCATTCTTTTATTCATTCTTTCTGTTTCATTTCATTCTTTTATTCATTCTTTCTGTTTCATTTCATTCTTTTATTCATTCTTTGTTTCATTTCATTTTTTTTATTCATTCTTTTTGTTTCATTTCATTCTTTTATTCATTCTTTCTGTTTCATTTCATTCTTTTATTCATTCTTTCTGTTTCATTTCATTCTTTTATTCATTCTTTCTGTTTCATTTCATTCTTTTATTCATTCTTTCTGTTTCATTTCATTCTTTTATTCATTCTTTCTGTTTCATTTCATTCTTTTATTCATTCTTTCTGTTTCATTTCATTTTTCATTCATTTTGGCGCCTTCATTCTTTATACGCTTTGTAGCTTTCGTTTTACTTGATTCTTTCCTTTCTAATTTCCTTCTTTCCTTCTTTCTTTCTTTTTCTCATTTCTCATGTATCTTTTTTCTTTCATTTTTATTTCTTTTAATTAATTTACATGTTTAATTTCATAATCTTCATACATTTTCTATTTATTTTCCGTTTTTCATTCAATTATTTTTCTTTTAACACTTGTAATTTCTTTTACTTCATCCTTTCTCGTTCATTCTTTTTTCATTCTTTATTTTTTTCTTTCATCTTTAACTTCTCCCATCCTCTTTCTTTCTTTCGTTCTTTCTTTCTAATTGATTTTTTCTTTCATCTTTCCCGCTCTTCTCACCAATTCTTCTTCTTTTTTTTTCCTTCCAATTTTCTTCTTTATTTCAGTTTTCTTATTTCTTTCTTAATTTCTATTTTCTTTTCTCTTGTCCCCGATTTTCATTCCTTTCTCATCAATTTTCTTTCTTTTTTTTTCATTTTTCTTCTTTCTTTCATTCTTATTGATTTTTTTCCTCCTAACTTCAGCCCTTCTCACCAATTTTCTTTCTCGTTTCATTTTGGTCACACACTTGGCATAATCCCAACTTTGCAATGGTACTTCCATCCCCGTCCATTATCATTCAGTCCGTCCCTTTTCTCACTGATAAACGACACAGTCAATCGGGTGTGGCAGCTGGATGCTCATCCACATAGCGAGTTAAAATGAGAACTTGACGGAGTCCTTTGCACGCAAAATCTTTCCCTGTTAATTTTTGTTTTCCCACTCGCAGGCTTCCGGCCGGACGTTTGTTCTTTTATCTCTCTGGCATTTTTTTTTTTTTGGATCACCATAACTGTTGTAAAGTATGTACTTGGTTCAAACAACTTCACTGATATTTTTTGTCGGTGGCGGGTGCATATTAGATATCTTCGTAGTTTTATTCCCGACGTTTCAGACGCTGCACCAACAACCTTCCTCAGCTACTTTTCTACAGATATATTTACACTAGTTAATCGAAAATGAAATACTAGATAGAAACCACAGGTATATAACATGCTAATTCTTATATTTAAAATGTCTGGGGAATTTCAGAATTTTCAACTGTCGATTTATTCGAATGAATTTGTTTATAATAGCAACAATTCGTCTCAGTAAAGGAGATGTTGACTACTTTAGATAATTCCACTGTAAATTTAAAAGATTGAAATTAAATTGATATTGTATGACACAAGGTCAAATAGTAAGTGATAAACAGATATTTTTACGCTGTTCTTTCAAGTGAGATGAACAGGGGGCACACATATTTGCATATACACAAATATGTGTCCCAACACAGAGGATTTTTTGTAAACTGAGGTCACATGTGATGAAGGGAGAGGAATTACATGAAGGATCATAGGTGGACATTCTGACTATGTGATTTATTAGCCATTAGTATTTTATGCATACGAAAGAGTAAAACACAATATATCTATCTCTGTATATATTTTTAGACATGCATACACACATATACCTATCCATATACATATAAATATGCACAAATAGATGTAAAACATCCGAAAACTCAAGTTTGATTTAATTTTCTTTAAAATTAATGCTATGTTAGAAATTCCAAGCGATTCTTGTGTCTGCATTTGAAGACAAGTTCGTTTCGTTGATTAAGTAATTCGCTGGTGTTTTCATATTTAATTATCAGGATTTTTTTCACATCTTTCCCTGAAATTGTTGGGATATGATCCTCTATTTTAATTGTGGGGTGAAGCCTCCGTCAATAATGTCCCAATAATGTTTTGACAAGGCTGTCTGCTGTCTTAAGGATTCGTTGTTGAAGGAATGCCGGTGATTGTGGAACCGATGTTTCCAAATGCCCACTGAAAGTCCGATGTAAATTATTTTCTAGATTACATGTTTCTTTGAAAAAATCGTAGCTTCATATACCACATTTTACGAAATGCAAATCCCTCCCACTGGACAAACAGCCTTCATTCTACAGCTACAGGGAGGTTTGTTCCCCCGTGACTCACTGTCGTGAAATTTTCTTGCGATATGGTTTTTTTGTGGGAATTATATATATATAATCAAAATTATGATCACCGTAATCATTCTGACTATAATTTTTATTTAAAAAAATGCTACTCTAAAATAAATGAAATCGACTGGATTATATACCCAAATCATATATTAAACATTAGATTTATATTAAAAGATTTTGCGTCCCCTCTCATTCTGTCTCATGTACAGTCGCATCAATAAATTTTGCGTCCCCTCTCATTCTATTTCATGTACAGTCGCATCAATAAATTTTGCGTCCCTCTCATTCTGTCTCATGTACAGTCGCATCAATAAATTTTGCGTCCCCTCTCATTCTGTCTCATGTACAGTCGCATCAATAAATTTTGCGTCCCCTCTCATTCTGTCTCATGTACAGTCGCATCAATAAATTTTGCGTCCCCTCTCATTCTGTCTCATATACAGTCGCATCAATAAATTTTGCGTCCCCTCTCATTCTATTTCATGTACAGTCGCATCAATAAATTTTGCGTCCCCTCTCATTCTGTCTCATGTACAGTCGCATCAATAAATTTTGCGTCCCCTCTCATTCTGTCTCATGTACAGTCGCATCAATAAATTTTGCGTCCCCTCTCATTCTGTCTCATGTACAGTCGCATCAATAAATTTTGCGTCCACTCTCATTCTGTCTCATGTACAGTCGCATCAATAAATTTTGCGTCCCCTCTCATTCTGTCTCACGTACAGTCGCATCAATAAATTTTGCGTCCCCTCTCATTCTGTTTCATGTACAATCGCATTTAAATTTTGCGTCCCTCTCATTCTGTCTCATGTACAGTCGCATCAATAAATTTTGCGTCCCTCTCATTCTGTCTGTCAGTCGCATCAAAAAATTTTGCGTCCCTCTCATTCTGTCTCATGTACAATCGCATCAATAAATTTTGCGTCCCTTCTCATTCTGTCTCATCAGTCGCATCAATAAATTTTGCGTCCCCTCTCATTCTGTCTCATGTACAGTCGCATCAATAAATTTTGCGTCCCTCTCATTCTGTCTCATGTACAGTCGCATCAATAAATTTTGCGTCCCCTCTCATTCTGTCTCATGTACAGTCGCATCAATAAATTTTGCGTCCCCCTCTCATTCTGTCTCATGTACAGTCGCATCAATAAATTTTGCGTCCCCTCTCATTCTGTCTCATGTACAGTCGCATCAATAAATTTTGCGTCCCCTCTCATTCTGTCTCATGTACAGTCGCATCAATAGATTTTGCGTCCCCTCTCATTCTGTCTCACGTACAGTCGCATCAATAAATTTTGCGTCCCCTCTCATTCTGTCTCATGTACAGTCGCATCAATAAATTTTGCGTCCCCTCTCATTCTGTCTCATGTACAGTTGCATCAATAAATTTTGTGTCCCCTCACATTCTGTCTCATGTACAGTCACATCAATAAATTTTGCTTCCCAATAAATTTTATGTCCTCTCATTCTGTCTCATGTACAGTCGCATCAATAAATTTTGCGTCCCCTCTCATTCTGTCTCACGTACAGTCGCATCAATAAATTTTGCGTCCCTCTCATTCTGTCTCATGTACAGTCGCATCAATAAATTTTATGTCCCTCTCATTCTGTCTCATGTACAGTCGCACAATAAATTTTGTCCCCTCTCATTCTGTCTCATGTACAGTCGCATCAATAAATTTTGCGTCCCTCTCATTCTGTCTCATGTACAGTCGCATCAATAAATTTTGCGTCCCCTCTCATTCTGTCTCATGTACAGTCGCATCAATAAATTTTGTGTCCCTCTCATTCTGTCTCATGTACAGTCGCATCAATAGATTTTGCGTCCCCTCTCATTCTGTCTCATGTACAGTCGCATCAATAAATTTTGCGTCCCCTCTCATTCTGTCTCATGTACAGTCGCATCAATAAATTTTGCGTCCCCTCTTCTGTCTCATTCGCATCAATAATTTTGTCTCTCATTCTGTCTCATGTACAGTCGCATCAATAAATTTTGCGTCCCTCTCATTCTGTCTCATGTACAGTCGCATCAATAAATTTTGCGTCCCCTCTCATTCTGTCTCACGTACAGTCGCATCAATAAATTTTGCGTCCTCTCATTTGTCTCATCAGTTGCATCAATAAATTTTGTCCCTCTCATTCTGTCTCATGTACAGTTGCATCAATAAATTTTGCGTCCCCTCTCATTCTGTCTCATGTACAGTCGCATCAATAAATTTTGCGTCCCCTCTCATTCTGTCTCAATAAATTTTTGCGTCCCTCTCATTCTGTCGCATCAATAAATTTTGCGTCCCTCTCATTCTGTCGTCCAATAAATTTTGCGTCCCCTCTCATTCTGTCTCACGTACAGTCGCATCAATAAATTTTGCGTCCCCTCTCATTCTGTCTCATGTACAGTCGCATCAATATCCCTCTCAATAAATTTTGCGTCCCTCATCTCATTCATTCTGTCTTATGTACAGTTGCATCAATAAATTTTGCGTCCCCTCACATTCTGTCTCATGTACAGTCGCATCAATAGATTTTGCGTCCCTCTCATTCTGTCTCACGTACAGTCGCATCAATAAATTTTGCGTCCCCTCTCATTCTGTCTCATTCTCGCATCAATAAATTTTGTCCCTCATGTACAGTCGCATCAATAAATTTTGCGTCCCCTCTCTCATTCTGTCTCATGTATGTTGCATCAATAAATTTTGTGTCCCTCTCATTCTGTCTCATGTACAGTCACATCAATAAATTTTGCCCCTCCCTGTCTCATGTACATCGCATCAATAAATTTTGCGTCCCTCTCATTCTGTCTCACGTACAGTCGCATCAATAAATTTTGCGTCCCCTCTCATTCTGTCTCATGTACAGTCGCATCAATAAATTTTGCGTCCCCTCTCATTCTGTCTCATTCAATAAATTTTGCGTCCCCTCTCATTCTGTCTCATGTACAGTCGCATCAATAAATTTTGCGTCCCTTCTCATTCTGTCTCACGTACAGTCGCATCAATAAATTTTATGTCCCTCTCATTCTGTCTCATGTACAGTCGCATCAATAAATTTTGCGTCCCCTCTCATTCTGTCTCATGTACAGTCGCATCAATAAATTTTGCGTCCCTCTCATTCTCTCATCGCATCAATAAATTTTGTCCCTCTCATTCTGTCTCATGTACAGTCGCATCAATAAATTTTGCGTCCCCTCTCATTCTGTCTCATGTACAGTCGCATCAATAAATTTTGTCCCCTCTCATTCTGTCTCACGTACAGTCGCATCAATAAATTTTGCGTCCACTCTCATTCTGTCTCATGTACAGTCGCATCAATAAATTTTGCGTCCCCTCTCATTCTGTCTCATGTACAGTCGCATCAATAAATTTTGCGTCCCCTCATTCTGTCTCATGTACAGTCGCATCAATAAATTTTGCGTCCCCTCTCATTCTGTCTCACGTACAGTCGCATCAATAAATTTTGCGTCCCCTCTCATTCTGTCTCATGTACAGTCGCATCAATAAATTTTATGTTTGTACAGTCGCATCAATAGATTTTGCGTCCCCTCTCATTCTCAAATTTTGCGTCCCTCTCATTCTGTCTCATGTACAGTCGCATCAATAAATTTTGCGTCTCATTCTGTCATTCTGTCCCTCTCATTCTGTCTCATGTACAGTCGCATCAATAAATTTTGCGTCCCCTCATTCTGTCTCATGTGCAGTCGCATCAATAAATTTTGCGTCCCTCTCATTCTGTCTCACGTACAGTCGCATCAATAAATTTTGCGTCCCTCTCATTCTGTCTCATGTACAGTCGCATCAATAAATTTTGCGTCCCCTCATTCTGTCTCATGTACAGTCATCAATAAATTTTGCGTCCCCTCTCATTCTGTTTCATGTACAGTCGCATCAATAAATTTTGCGTCCCCTCTCATTCTGTCTCACGTACAGTCGCATCAATAAATTTTGCGTCCTCTCATTCTGTCTCATGTACAGTCGCATCAATAAATTTTGCGTCCCTCTCATTCTGTCTCATGTGCAGTCGCATCAATAAATTTTTGCGTCCCTCTCATTCTGTCTCACGTACAGTCTCATCAATAAATTTTGCGTCCCCTCTCATTCTGTCTCATGTACAGTCGCATCAATAAATTTTGCGTCCCCTCTCATTCTGTCTCATGTACAGTCGCATCAATAAATTTTGCGTCCCCTCATTCTGTCTCATTACAGTCGCATCAATAAATTTTGCGTCCCCTCTCATTCTGTCTCATGTACAGTCGCATCAATAAATTTTTATGTCCCCTCTCATTCTGTCTCATGTACAGTCGCATCAATAGATTTTGCGTCCCCTCTCATTCTATTTCATGTACAGTCGCATCAATAAATTTTGCGTCCCCTCTCATTCTGTCTCATGTACAGTCGCATCAATAAATTTTGCGTCCCTCTCATTCTGTCTCATGTACAGTCGCATCAATAAATTTTGCGTCCCTCTCATTCTGTCTCATGTACAGTCGCATCAATAAATTTTGCGTCCCTCTCATTCTGTCTCATGTACAGTCGCATCAATAAATTTTGCTTCCCCTCCATTCTGTCTCATGTACAGTCGCATCAATAAATTTTGCGTCCCCCTCATGTCATTCTGTCTCATGTACAGTCGCATCAATAAATTTTGCGTCCCCTCTCATTCTGTCTCATGTACAGTCGCATCAATAAATTTTGCGTCCCTCTCATTCTGTCTCATGTACAGTCGCATCAATAAATTTTGCGTCCCCTCTCATTCTGTCTCATGTACAGTCGCATCAATAAATTTTTGCGTCCCTCTCATTCTGTCTCATGTACAGTCGCATCAATAAATTTTGCGTCCCCTCTCATTCTGTCTCATCAATGTACAGTCGCATCAATAAATTTTGCGTCCCCTCTCATTCTGTCTCATGTACAGTCGCATCAATAAATTTTGCGTCCCCTCTCATTCTGTCTCATGTACAGTCGCATCAATAAATTTTGCGTCCCCTCTCATTCTGTCTCATGTACAGTCGCATCAATAAATTTTGCGTCCCCTCACTCATTAGATTTTGTCCTCTCATTCTGTCTCATGTACAGTCGCATCAATAAATTTTGCGTCCCCTTCATTCTGTCTCATGTACAGTCGCATCAATAAATTTTGCGTCCCCTCTCATTCTGTCTCATGTACAGTCGCATCAATAAATTTTGCGTCCCCTCACTTTCGTTTTGATGTGTAGTGTCGTCAAAAAAATGTCAACTTTTCCTATTTTTCCAAATGAAAACATTTCCTATTTTTCCATAACTTTCCCTAATATATATATATATATATATATGTATATGTGTGTGTGTGTGTGTGTGTGTCTATCATTATCACCCAATGCAAGGCATTAAAGCCTCTATGGGGTTACTGGGTGTTGAAGAAATTAGAAAGAGAATCATTAATAATGAACGAAAGCAACAAGATCAATCAGAACAATGGATAGCGATTGACATTGAAGTATTTTTAGATTAATGTTGACTGGAAAGCATGGAGCCGGAAGGAGTTCCACAAGCGAGAAGTAATGCAAAAAGAAACTGTTTGCATAGAATTTACGGTTACATCTAGCCAGCTCAACTATAATTTGATGAGAAACTGTCGCTAGTCTAGTAATGCGCTTAAAATATTTAAAAAAAAAGTCGGGGTAACATAGCAAGAGCTCATCTGAACAATTACCATGGAAGTGTTTATAGAAAAGCACAGGACGTTAAAATTAACAAGCCATTCGTTGTCCCAGTTAACAACAAACGCAGCTGCGAATTTGATTTTATAAAACTGATCAGACTTAGCATCGAGACAGGAGTAAATGGTCATCAGTGTAGATACCAAGTTGAGAGCTGAAGGTCTTTAATGAAAATTAAAAACAAAAAAAAACTGTTTATTTATTTCTACTCGGAATTTCGCAGATGACTTTCGCTTCTTTAGTTCAACTGTGGATACATTAACGATTATTGCTGAAAGACTGTTTAGATAACAATGGGAAATCTTGTTCTGTTGCTTTGTATATCTCGAAGGTATTTGACGGAGATTAGTATTCTGTTCTTCTTTAGAATTTGAAAAATTGTGGTATTTCTGGACAATCTTTTGAAGTGTTCAGCCTTTCTTATGTAATCGCGAAATGAATGTTGCCTTGAACGGCCAATCTTCTATATCTTTTTGCATTTATTTATGTCGAACCCGCCAAGCGTTGTTCTTAATTTTCATGAGTACATGTTCTGATCGCATCAGTTCTCAACTCGGTATATATAACACAACCACTTACTCCTGTTTTAATAGTAAATATAATCAAACTGGTAGCTGATTTTAAAAAAAAGATTACCTACATCCTGTTGTTACCTAGGACAGGGAATGGTTTGTTAATTTTAATGGCTCCGAAACAAAACTGCGGTTTATTAATCGTCTGATGAAAACTTTTTTGTGTTCGATCAGCTAAGAATGTCATCTAAATGGTGTAAATTCAAATTAATACTTAATGATTGCAATGAGCATGAAACTCCAAGTTGTACTGTTGTCGTAGGGTATTATGTATATTTATTAATATATACTTAACTGCTCTCTTATTTAGCACTGAGTACTGCTTTTCTTACACCAAAGTATATATGTGTGTGTGTGTGTATGTGTGTGTATCTGTACTTGAACACTTACATGTAAATTTATTTATATTTATCCATCTGAGTATATATATATATATATATATATATATATATATATATATATATATAAGAAAATATACAAAAAAAACAAAAAATCCTAATATACAATTATGCTGTTTTAATGTTAATATAATGTCAACAATATAAATGCATATCAGGATTTTTGTTTGTTTTTTTCCATATTTTCTTCATACTGTATCCATATATTTGCTTATATCTATATCCATATATTTGCTATATATATATATATATATATATATATATATATATATAAATATTATGGTCCCCATAATATTTCTAACCATAATTTTTCACGGTGTCGTGCAGGAGAGATTTTTCTAAACCGACCTTTATAAGTCTATCGTTCGTCGATGCTTTAAATATTGCTGCCACATATGGACTAGTACTCCTATTATATATTTAGAGATCCTTATAGCAACCCAATGTATCAACAATGTCATTGATCCTGATCTGTCATTATGTAACGTCGTTAATGTAACGTCCCTGTGTCCTTTCTATAGATATTTGCCAGCCAATTGTTCCTGATGAACTTATCTATATGGTATGTAGACTCTATGAATTTAAGTGCAGTACCAGACTGGCGGCATAATGTCATCATTTCACAGTTGAAATATAGATTGATAGATATTACCGTAAATTATAGGCTAACAGTTTATTTATTCGCGTTTCCCGCTTGTGGAAAACCCCCTCCAGCATCTTGCTTTCCACTGAAGAATGATCGTCAAAAATTTAATGCGTTATATTCTGTTTTCTTAATTTCTCTTCTTTTATTGTTCTCGCTCCTTAAGTTATGTTGTCATTTCTTTTCTATTTTTTCACAATCAGTAACGCCCTTATTGTCTTTATTAACTTGCTTAGTGTGGAATGATACAAAAAAACTTGAAATCCTCTCATAAGGTGACAAAATAATTTTGATTTATATTCATACAACTTTCTTGTTAAGAGACCCATGTTTGTACCTAAAATCAACTGAATTCCTTTTTTAAAACGTTAATTTCTGACGCAAGTTTATTTGAATTTATACGGAAGTTAGATATAAACTTTTACTTGAAATTTTACTTGAAAATTATTCCTGTTTTGGTTAAATGTAACATGGTTAAAAGTATTTTTATGAATAAATTGTTAACCTATTTGACAGGTTTTGCTATTTATACCTTAATGGCTATATTTGACTCTTCTAAATATGCAGGGTGAGATGGATAAATTGTCGTCTTAATTAAATAAAATGAAAATAACACTGACATCTCATTTCAACAGATATGTTTACCAAAATTACACAAAAATATCTTGAAATAGGAAAGAACAAATTAATTCAATAAAATTGCCATTGGCTTCAATCACGGCGTCCAGAGGCCTTCAGAATCTCCCGCACCTCTTCTGGACATTCTCCTTCTTTAAGTTGGTGAATGCTGCCCCACACAAGGGTGATGCAGTCTGGTGGCCAAATGCAAGGGGCTATCTGGACGCAGAAATTTTCTGACTGCCGTGATTATTCTGTTAAAATGAGTTCTCCTGCTTGTGTGGCATCGTGCCGAGTCCTGTTGCCAGACATAGGGTCTTCCATCAGCCACTTTCTTGAGCCATGACAGCACTACCATCCTAGTTATGTATCTGATTGATTGGAAGTGTCGTTTTAAATAGTGGCCTGAGTCTCACCAACAAATTCGGGAGCTCTTTTCCTATCAGAACAATCAGGGTGTGTTTTCGGATCTGTTATACCATTGTAATCACTATTAGACTCATCGAAATCTTTCCGAATCCTCTGTGCTGTCCTCAGATTGACACCCAAACACTCGGAAATGTATTGGCACTTCTGGTACAGCATGCCATTTCCAAATTTCTGGTTAAGTAAATTGAGTCATGGTGCTCTTTTTCTCACATATGGTGTCCAATTGACCTTACTATAGTGTACAGGCGACAAAATCAAAAACAAACAACGCGCATGCGCAAAATTGAAAATATAACATGGCGACAATTTTTATCTATCGCACTCTGCATATTATGGGTTTTTGGTATATTTATATTACCGTAATATCTATTTGAAATCACAGTCGTTTTGAAGTAAGAATATATATTTCTAAATAATTACTGGGTTTATTGTTAATCGGAAGTTTTTATTACTTTAAACGTTATTAAATTAGATAGTAATATTTGAAAAAGACGGTCAATTTTTAATTTGTTGTTTTTTTTAATTTACTTTTTGTTTTCTTTCATATTTTCTGTGTTAAAATTTCTCGAATGCACAGTACGATATATGTTAAGGCAATACACTAGAGGTTAAAATAAACAGAAATTAAAAATGGCTCGTCTATTTCAAGTACAAATATCAAATATATATACATACATATATACATATATATATATATATATATATACATATATATATATGTGTGTGTGTGTGTGTGTTTGTGTATGAAAGAATTAATTAACAATTTTA